GGCCGTCGCGGCGCGTCGGCGGGGGAATCGGAGGGGGCACGCGAGGTGGGACGCGACGGCCGCGAAGAGAGAGGGGACCGTAGCCCGGCGCCGCTGCGTGTCATTGCTGGCGCCAGCTAATTGTCGAGGCCAGCCGGCATTAGCCGAGGAGCTGACCGAACTGAGTCGAACTCCACGAAAGCAGGCAGGCAAGCAGGCAAACGAGCAGGCAAACGACTATCCCAAGCTCCGACCCTACCCGACTTGGGTCGCGTTGTGCGGTCGACTCGCCGCACTGCGCCGGTTGAACAATCACACCGACTGATTCTTCCCCTAATTCGTCTCGGGCTTGTTATATTGACTATTTGTGTAAAAATCCTGATAATGAATAGATCTTCCATGTTGCTTCAATATGAAATTAATCATTTCGCCTTTGGTTTCTGTTAACGTTGGAATTGGAAAATGAGATGTTATTTGTGAATCTCGTATAAAAATATTATTTTCAAGCATTTAATTTTCTTTTCGTTTGATGACAATGATTAGAACTCGATCTTTATGTATAATCGTTTTAATAGAGTGTATGCTAACTTATTACTAGTATGTACATTTTCTGAGACAAATACGTAGTATACATACAGTTGCTTGCAGTACTGACCTTCGATCGTTGAAATTTTTGAGAATCATCAGAATTGGGGACAGCGAAGGCATCGGGAATCTTGGCTGGTACCGATTTTATTATATTCTCAATCTCTGGGACGCGCGTGTTAATAGTTTCGACGGATCGGGAATAGGTTTCCTAGGAATTCGAGTTCTCTTTCTCTCTCTCTCTCTCTCTCTCTCTCTCTCTCTCTCTCTCTCTCTCGCTGCGCATCGCGGAGAATTCCGAAGGCACTTTAGAATCCGTTGTTCAAAACAAAAACTGACCACGCACTGAAATGATGTTCCGCTCGGGTCTCCACGTGTTGGCATTCGCGAACATTACCGTGTCTATAACCGTATATAAATGAGAATTCTACAGAGTGTCTTGTAAAAAAATACTTATCATTCAAGAAATAGTCAAAACTATGGAATTTTAATCTTAGGGTGCTAACTTTGAACGAGTCAAGAAATTGCATCGTATTACATGTGCAAAAAATATGTTTTTTATTAATTTTATATATTTTTATATATATATAATATTTAGGAAAATAATTTACTAAATCTTGATATATATATATTTTTTAACAGAATCGAGTAAATACTTACTTACATTGCAATAAATAAATATTTACCCAATAAAAAATAATAATTAAATCACATTGATGGTTCTTGTATCAAATAAATATATATTTACATTTAATAAATACTTAGAACTATTCACCTAGAATTGAGTATACTTTTTTCATTGTACACGTTTATTTTAGTATACGTGACGCATACGTTATTTAGCCCACATCGCTCGAAATAACGCGCGTATTCAATATGCAATGACGCGTATACGGCGACCGGCGATCGCCTATTTTTCCCGTCGGCTCAATTTACGCGCAACCTCGCTGGCTCGCAAACAGACACCGGACGTAACTATTGTCAGCGTGATCGTCGATAGCGCACGTTAATTTCGCATCAAATCGCGGAATTTTATCGCGCGCAAATCGCTCCCGCGGTGGCGCCTTGTTTTCGTAACGAAAACTGATGATTGAAAACCGATGACACAAACCCGCTGTCTTTATCTGTTTTTTTTTTCTGCGTTCGGTGGCCGTTCGTTCACACATTGCCGCGGTAGCCAGTTAATAATTCACGCCAGCGAATCGATTATCATCGGCCAGTCGACGACGGCAACGGCTGTGTGTCGTCGTTACGCAAATCGTTGCGGCGCAGGTTTTTATCACCAAGCCGCGCGATTCAGCGCGTAATGTGCGTGACTTTCTCTGCCGCTCCTTCTTCTCTCGCGCGCGCGCTTCGATATTCATTCATACTCGAAAGCGCGAAGAGGCGACTTTCATATTATAGGGTAAGTGAGTCCCTAGAGAGTCTCGCCATGCAAACAAAATGGCGTACGTAGATGTAAAATGTGTGTGCGTTTGGTGTGAGTGTATACTACACTTTGATTGGTAACGCCATTGTGAATGCATGCCAATCAAAAGGGTAGACGATACCCAGACTCTGAGTGCGATCCACTTCATGCTCTAAATGCTTTGAAGCATTTTTTGATTGGTCAATTCGCAAAATTCTTTCTTTTGATTGATCAACGAAGCATTTGCAGCGTTAAATGAATCGCACCTTCTGTTTCTAGGGACTTTAATACTCGCGTTTCTATCAATTTAACTTCAATCTCGGTTCAAGTTGTTTATATTTTTCTAATTCTTAGAAAAAAATGAAGAGTTAGTTGAACTAAGATCAAAATTGAATTATAATGATCGGAACGGATATAAGTTTGGTTCTATTATTATAAGATTAATTTTAATCACGATTCTATTTATTCTTTTTCTAATTCTAAGAATTAAGGCCTAAGAATAAGGTGGTTTCGAACATGATACAATTTTGAACAAAGTAAGATTTTAATCCAAATTCAAGGATCAAGTTTGGTACCAAAGATTTCTTTGGATTTAATAAATTTTATTAAATGATTTTATTTTATTTTATTGTAAAGGAAATCATCAAACAGGAAAAATTTAAACCTCGGAAATTGGATTTTAATTTTACTTAATTCAAAATTGTTCAATCATGTTCGAAAAAATTGTACCACTTTATCATATATCTTTTTTGACTCGATTTATCGGGAATTATTTACGAACGGACGACACGTACAATTTTTTTTTTCTTTATCCGAAAAAAAGATCGAAAACATCTTTTTGTATCGTTCGCGTGCAGTATCTTTATCTGGAGATCGATAGATATGCAATGTAGACGATCGATTCAGTAAAATTCATCTCCCGCAGCTGACAATCTGATAAACAGGCCTAGAAATAGGCGCGTCTCGGTTGGAGGAAGATGCTTAGCGGCGCGAGTTACGTAACAACTACGGGAGCGCCGCGCGTTTATTATAAGTGCCTTAATTAGGGGCTGAAATATCGCCGTTTAAATCGCGCTCCCATCTTGTTATTCAAATCGTGCCAACTCTGGCCCGGAGTTTGAAGTGCGTCGATGAGTGACATGCCGCGCCGGCTTTATTAAAGCTCGGCGGCGACGCGGCGGCCGGTCGGCTCTGGAGAGGGATTGAGCCGAGCATGATTAAGAGAGAGAGAGAGAAAGAGAAAATGATAAAGAGAGAAACGAGCCGCGAAGAGGATCCGCGTGTAGGCGCGACAGACGGCCATTACATGTCGACGTCGCGCCACGTTTATTATCTAGGAATTTCGGCGCACTAGTCATTAGTCGGCAAATTTGTACTTTCCTCGAAAAGTGGCCTTAAAACGGATGTTATTTTAGATACGTCGATTCTAAATACAATATCAATATGTGATTGTAATGATTTCGTAATCTACGATTTCAATCAGTCGATTACGTAATATGTATTTCTCAGTGTGAATTTTTAAGATCAGACGATCGATAAAAACGGTTAAAGAAAGTAAACATCTAATTTATTTTCATCAAAAAATGTTTTTTTTTTTTTTTTTTTTTTTTTG